AACCTATCAGGCCAAGATTCCACACAGAAACCCAAACTCAAAGCCCAAAGCTAAGCCAATGTTCGTTCTTAACCGAACCACAATCAACAAACGAATGCGGGCAACGACAGTGGCTTTATTCAAATGCCCAAAGTTTGCTTTTGCCACAATTTAGATTGAAATTAGTTAAGGAAGGAGGAAGGAGCACAGCAGCTCCTACGTAACTTAACCCCGTCGGGTGCTTCCTTTCGAACATCATAAAGAACTGCAAATAAAAGCCAAGCTGAGCTAGTTTATTTGATAAATACTTCAAGTGCGCTATTTTCTTAAGTATTTATATACTTTAATAAAGTGTAAGAAGAAGCGTTTCACATTTTACCATAGGCGAAACTTCAAGCTGTGGAATGCTTTGAGTTGAGCTCAATTAGCAAAGAGCTGCTTAGCAACCTGTTCCGTTAGCCATCAAAACAACATGAAGCAATTTCTGCAGCAGCATCAAACACTGAATAAAAGACGTTGAATCATTTGTCTGGGTAACTAGAGCAACCACCTAATTGAGTTATTACACCTGCTACCAATACCTGTAAATTTCCATAAGAAACAAAAAAAATAAAGAATTAACTCGACTGGCAGATGCCTTTTATATAAAAAGATAGGCTGAAGGGTTAGTGCAAGCTTGGCGATGTTAAACCAAACTAAGGCATCAAATTAACAATTTATAAATCAATTTATATACTAAAACTATTAAATACAACTTTTATTTGTATTATAAATGCATATATAATGCTATAAAGTTTGTTTATAAACTATTTTTATTTTAGTGCACTTACATATAATGTATGCCCAATTATAAATATCTTGCAGCTGCAAGCTGTACCAAGGCATATGTTGTTTGCTCTGATCAACTATCAGAAACCCTTCAAGACCTTAGACTGAAAGTTAAAGTACTTACGAAAAGTACTCGTATTCTTGAGCCATTCAGAGCATATGGTAAATAAAACACACACGCGCACGGAGACTCTCGCTTGTGGCAGCTGAGAGAGAGAGAGAGAAAGACCGAGAGACACCTAACAGGCACTTGATAAGTGTGGCTATGAGTGGCAGCTGCTACCCTGGCACCGGTCACCACTTACCTCACAGTGTTAGTTGTGAAGATGCCGCCGAACTAAGACCACGGCCGGCATAAATGCATATGTATGCGTATTAAAGATGCTCCAGATAGACCGGCAAACACTCACTCGCACACTAACTGCCGTTTGCTGTGTGTCAATATGTATGTAAATAAGCGGGAGAACAAGTGGTTATAAATTTTCAAGGAAGCTGCCGTTTGCCAACAACAATATTATGTATACGCCAGCGAGGCCAAAAGCCGTCAGGCAAGAGTAAATCCGCTCGCATATCTTCCTATTTGTATGTAAGCAAGTATTTACTGGGGCCTATGTGTGTGTGTGGTTAAATGGGTCCTTGTTTGAGTTCGTGTAGGTGTGCCTTACTAATAATGCCCTTAAGAAAGGACACGCTACGCAAACGCAAAAATACCAAGAAATATATAGGCAGCAGCAAAAAATTGAGTTAAATAAAATAAATGAAAGCGAATATGACGGCAAAAACAAGAGGAAGCGCTGAAGCGGGCAGCGCGCCCGAGATGAGAGTTTACCAAAGACCGATGAGGTGTGCATAAGTGTGCGTGCCAGTGTGGGTGTGAATGTGAGTATGGCTGGGCGTGGCAGCAAGTACCCTGAAAACGCTCGAGGCCTGCCCAGTTAGCCGCATCACAACCCCCTGTCAAGGCAGCGCACTACGTATTTGTTTTTGTTTTTATTTTTATTATTTTTTGCTTTTATTGCTCGCATCCTTGAAAGTTTTTAATATGTTTATTTATATAAGCGCACTAGGACGCGCCGTCAATGTTGTTGTTTATCGCTCCTGGCCGCTGCTACCGCTGCTGCTGTTGGCCCAATCCTGTCCGCTAGTTATGCGCTTATTATGTTCCTCATAAAATCACATAAAATTAAAAGCTCTTTTGCTCTTGAAAACGCTTTTACTTCTCCATTTTGACGATTAACTAGATGCTCGTGACTATAGTGAATGCCCTTTGGCACTTTGGCCCTCTGGCCTTTGCCTTGCAGTCATTAAACTGTCGACTGTATTTAAAAAGGCTTAAAGGTCAGCTGCAGAGTTGAAACTGGCAAACTTTTGCTAAAAACTCAATTACATTTACATTTTTTAGTACCTCTTCCAAGTTCCAAGAAACTTTTACTACAAATTATGCTACTCTTAACATACATAAAGCCTTAGACCATGAAGTGAGTGTAGTTAAATCAGCATCAGAGCTAATTCCCTTTCAAAGTATTAAAAAAAAATATTAAAATTGTGTTTACTGTTTTTCTCATTTCACATTGAAATCATATTCGTTCTGAGCTACAACATTATTATTTAGTTGTCAGTAAGCTGTCTGAGCTCACGAATTGCTTGATAATTAATAAGCAACAATAACAAAATATAAACACTCCATCAGCTTGTTCGTATAGCTATCTCGACAAGCTTACGATTCAACAATTCTTGCAAATTGAATTATATGAAATCAGAGTCAAACTCTCTCTCTCTCTCTCTCTCTCGGAATGAGCATCATTTCCCTTAACGATTCCAAATATCTGAGGTCAATAATATATTTAGAGCTTGTTACAAATGATGATGTTGTAAAATCGGCTTAAAATAATTAAATTAATAGCAAATCGTAAAGTCCGAACAACTACAACAATTAACAATGCCATGCATGTCTCTCGTTTAACCTTTTGAACGATTGGCCCCATTGTGCCGGAAGGCAAAATTTACAAAGCGTCTATAATCAGGGAAATGCTCAATGTGCGACAACGTGCCTTGGGCGGTTGCAGATTATTTATTTTGGCCTATTGACCATACGAAACGGCGATCAATCATTTCCGGGCAATCGAATGAAGATGGCAATGACTAGCACAGGGCATAGACCCCATCGAGCGACCGATTGCAGACGATAGGAGAACCAAATTTAATATCTTAATGAAAGTTTAGATTGGCGCCATTGCTGATGAATTGAAATATTGCCGCACGAATGCGTTGCGCAGGTAATCAAGCATGAAGTAGGCAGAAGCAAACAGTGCAGGTGGCAACGGCAGCTCTATGAATAGACAAAGAGCTGCCTGAACTTTACACTTTAAATTTAAGCTGGTGGGCGTGGCAGCTGAAAAGCTATAGAATTACAATGTAGATGACTTGAATATATGTTAAAAATTGAAATTAATTTTACTAAAAACAACAATTCCTTCACACAGTTTATGCGAGTTACTTATTTGAATATTTCCTGATAATGCAAGAAATATATTCGTATTTTTGTAAAAATAATATTTTACACAAGCATTGCATAATTACAATGAAAAATAGAATACCCTACGAATTCTTGATTGGTGCTGAGTATTGAAATGCAAAGCAATCGAAGCGCAACGAATATAAATAAAGTCAAAGAGTTCAGAGAGAAGTACACGCGTGCCCCCGGCAAGGCACAACAACAAAAACACACACAACATGTTTATTTAGGCGCAATCAATTTTATGGCAATTCGGTTTATATAGCAACAAAAGAAGGCAACAACCGGGAGCTGCCAGCCGACCAATGCCTCGCGAGCCAAATTCGCGCCCAGAATTATGCAGAGCATCGCATTTCTGTGAGAATTCGCTTGAGTGTGTCTATGTGTGGGTGTGGGTGTGGCTGTGGCTGTGCTTAACTGTTTCCTGTGTGACTGTGCGTGGGCGAGTGCTTAAACGTGCATGAAAACGTTGTCAGCCAAGAGGAACAACAACAAGCGAGAGAGCAAGTGTGCAGCTCCATGTGTGGCTTCGATCTGAACTTTTAACTAATTTAAAAATTTAATTTAATTAATGTGTGTGCAGAATACTTATTAAAATTATGTTTGTGTTTGAAGCGCTCATCTTATCTACCGACAATGCCTTGCCTATGATGACATCAGCTCTTAAAGCCACTGCAAAACTTATCGATAATGAAAATTAAGCTTGAGCTGCGTGTGCTCTTGAGCTTGAACGAACCGAACGTTTTACTTTATCAGCTTAATGAGTGTCCATGTACTAATTTTATTTATATTGATTTTCCAGTCTATTTATATAAAGACAGCTGCAAATTGCATTTCATATACTGAATCGGTTTGTTTCACGTATTTCCAGGCAGCTGCAATTTGGTAACCAAGGAATCGCAATTATGACCCAGCTGAGTGACGCCCGAGAAAACTTCGTTAACAGCAGTTACAACAACAACAAAATCAATATCAGCATCAACTATAGCCACAATAATCAACAACATCGGCAGCAAAATGTAAACGGCTAAAGGAGGGCTCGGCAACGGGGTCCGTGAGCTCTGCAGTAGCAAAGTTAAAGACACCATTATAGTGAATACGACAAAAAGTTCAGCAACAACCATTGGCAGCAACAGCAACAACAACAACAACAACAACAACAACAAGAACAAGAACAAGAAAAAACAACCACAGCAACAAACAAAATACACAACATAAATGAAGTTTACAATCTGTCAAATTGCTAAATTATTTCTGCTGTTGACAGCCTTCTTCTTTCTTAATTCCCATCACGCCTCCTCCGCCTTCACCACCTTGAATATCACCTCTGGTTCCATCAACAGCAACGTCTTTTCACCAGGCCAAAAGCTTCTCCCGCCGACCACAGCGCCAGCTGGCAATGTGCCCAAGACATTGGCAAATGCGAGTGCAACAACTGCGGTTACGTCCACGACAGCAACAGCGGGAGCGACAGCGACAGCGACAGCGACAACAGCAGCAACAACAACACTTAGCAGCAATTCAATTTTGAGAACAACGACAGCAACGCAGCAACAGAGACAACTACAACAACAACAACAAAGCAATGCGCGTGAATTGGTACGTCAAGCACGTCAACAGCAAGAGACCGCAAAACAGCAACAACGGCAACAACAACAACAACAACATCGCCAACGCCGCCAACATCAAAAACAACACACAACTGCTGCAACTGTGGCAGCTCAGCGTGTAGCCGTTTTAATACCTTCGTCATTGCACATTGATATGATGCAAGTGCAACAGGGCTTCCAGCATTTCGTTGAGTTTTTTCAAGTGCATTTATCTAACGCTAGCGTCGATTTTATACATGATGTCGGTGAGTAAACAAACACAGCTAGAAAAATCAACACCAGTATCAATACACACGCACACACATATACACAGCAACACCAACACACACGCACACACACATGGCCAGATCCGATTTATTTTGTTAGCCATTTTGATTTTTTTTGTTGTGTCGATTTGTTTGTTGTTGGTTTTCAATCGCCTCGCCAAAGAGAAAAATTTTAAAATTTAAAAAAATCATATATCATTTGTGGTCAATAAAGTAATTAACTGCAACTTTATTGCATTCACATGCATTTTTTTCAGAGTAATTAGTTAATTTAAAATTTTTTTGCTACTTTTTAATCGCAACTCATTATTTTTCCTGTGGTCATTTAATCAAATAAAGATGCGTAAAGCACACCAAAGCGATTGCTCGCTGATCAAAGGCAACTTTGTTATGATGAATGTCAAGGTTTTCTTTTTTATAGCCAAGTCATTGCAACTAAGTTAAAAGGACATCTGCAGCGATTCATCAGCTAGAAATATGTCGAGCACTCTCAGCTTTTCTCTGCATAGCAATTGCTTTTATCATTGTAATCAATGCAAACTCAATTTCCATGCATTATGCGCAGTCTTTGCTTTGCAGCAAAACAAGCAAGATTATTGCGGTCGCCTATAGCTGACTGCGTAATGCTCGTTCGATTTGGCGCGATCTGAAAATATTGCCTTCCACTTTTGCACAGCCTAAGCCTCTGCGCGGACATAGTCAACTGTTAACACTCTGACTCAATGCTAAATCATGGCACAAATATGCCCTTTTCGTAATGTGAGCGTGCATGCATATAGTTCTTTTCATCGCATTTAAACTAATTAAAGCGCAACGCGCAAGCTTCCGACCACGTCCTGAGCCTTGGAGTGCACGTTGCATCGAGTGGCGCTGCAAAGATGCTGCGTACTTTGTTACTTTTTCTATGTTTTCCTATGTGCTTACAACGTTAATTGTATTGCCTTCAATTTCAGGCATGTCATGCCAAAGGACTCGCATCCTGCCGTCCTGCAGCCCCCCGTCTCAGCCATCGATGTCATAAATATTTCTGTCCGGCAACTGACAACTTACAATTTCCGCTTGAAATCCTTATAGCTGCAATTGACTTATGAGTATTTTTATACTCCAAGCCCATAGAAAATGGCAAAAAGGAATTTGTATTGTTTTTTTTTTTTGCAGAGGGCCTCTTCGAGCCTGGCATGAATTGAAATAGTTGTACCTATTCGGCGCTGCTTAGGCTTCATAACCAGATTTAATTCAGAGACCAAATGGGCATACATTCGATTTGCATTGATATGCTAAGATATACATTTGATTTGCAAAGATATTCTTGGAATTTTCCAAATACCCATACCATTAAAAGTCACCTCAAATCCTAAATAAATTCACAAAGCTGCCCTCTGGCATCTACAGGGAATAGTAAATCTATTCAGCTGTGACAAAATCCAATTTTTCAGGCACGAGCTGAGATGAATATATATTTTTTTTAAATTTATTTTACAATTTTATTTGGAAGAAATACAGCTTGGAAAAAAGAATCAGTGCGCCTGTAGCTTTCGATATTATTATTGATTTCTCTTAAAGTAACTTTTAAGCAGCTCAAATAAAAGTAAACAGTTTCCGCCCATTGTCCAAAGTTGCGAGCTGATAAATCACGTAGTTAATAATGTTTTACAGAAAACAAAGTTTGAAATTCTTTCAACGTATATTAAATATATATATATATATATATATATTTCATATATATATATATATATATATATATATATATACTTCTGAAATACTTCATATAGCAGCAAGTTTCCTAAAAAGTATAAATAAAAGTTTATTAAATATATATTTGGATAAAACGAAAATCAATTGCGAAATATAAATATCGAGTAGCTAATCGATACTTCAAAACTACAAATTGCATCGTTAGTATGAAAAGCAGGAAAAGTTTTAGTTCAGCAAGTTGAATGCTTAAGCGCATTTATGTGTGTCATAATGGGAAATTGTGCTAATGAATTATCACAAATCGCGATAAGCTGCGGCTTACTCAGGAGGAGACAAGGCGAGTGCAAATTGTTTAGTTTTATTTGCGGCCAGTTTCCTAAGTTGGTCCATCGAAGTTTTTCGCTAAGTCTCCGCTTGTCTCTTGGTCTGGTTGCTTTATTTCTACACTTTTCATTCTTTTAGTTAGTTTCAAAGTAAACATTGAGGCATACACATGACCAAGAGGAATCCTCAGACTGGCTGATGGAAAACTTGCACATCAGCCACTTATTTGGCGCCAAAGTTTTGCCAATTACTACAAAAGTTTAGATTTGATTTATTTAATGTAAACTAAATATCGCTAGTTCACAAAAAAAGTTTTATTGTTTTGCTGCTGGCTTGTGCTTTAAATTGTGAAAATTAAATTTGAAAACGTAAATTAATTAAAGCCAAACACAAGGAAATTCAATTTGAAAACCAGGCTCGTAACTTTGTCCCTTTTTATCGTTTATCTCAGGGCTGTTGTCCACATGCAAAATAAATTCTATTTTCCGTAATTTCTTTCCACATTCTGCCAGGTTTCATGCTGCAAAATATTGAAATTGATTTTAGTTGCATATGCTGCAGTTAGTTCCTCCCGCTTGCTTCTACCTCAATTTACGACCGGACCACATGAGCACAGTAAGGGAAAAACCTATTGTCCTGCATTCCCCTAGCAGGGCCCAGTAAATTCATAGTTTATGCCCACGCGACTTGGCCAGGTCCCTCAGTATTTGCGGTGGCACAGAAGGCCGGACGAATGTATAAATTGTATTTCCATGGATTGCCTTTTGTGCAGGAAAGCCGACAAATTAAAAGGTGGCTGCGTTGCCAGGGGCATAATAATAAAGTCAACTTGCCTGAGTTGGGCAGCTGTGCTTTAATTTGCTAAACACTCAGCCTCTGCAACTGCCCTAGACCACATCAATTCCGCATTTTTATTACAAAAGTAATATTTGCCCAAAGCAACATAGATGAGACTCATGCCGAGAGCGAGTGCAACAAAATCAGCTTAGAACAATTAAATATAAAGAAAAACATTTTTAAAAATAATAATAGACAGCAGGAAATATCTGTTAAAAGTTTTACTAAACGTAAGGTAAAAGAAAAGAAAAGGCACACAGAAAGAGTTTAAGCTTAACTTCTTTTAACAGTCGCAGAAGCAGTAAATATAGACCGAACATTTTTTTTTTTTTTTTTCGTTTTTATTTCTTTATTTTGTTGCAGCTTATTGTCTTAGACTCTATAGCGCATTTAGCTCTAAACCTTAACTAATGGGAGGGCAGATATGCCAATTATTCTGCACTTGTAGCTACTATCTTAATTAGTTCTAATATTGTCTAGAGGATGCAATCTCTTCAGTCTTCGCCTATTGTTGTTTATAGCCAGGTTGCTTGCGAGATGGTTAGGATGCGCTGCAAGTCTGTCCGCGTATCTTGAACTGTGTCGCCCAATGAGTTCAGCAACTGTGGGAATTGCTAAATCCCTATGTAAGACTGAGTTTCTTACAAACCAGCTGGCTCCAGTCCATCTGCGTAGTGCTTTATTCTGCAGGGTCTGAATTTTGTTCCTTGTAGTCTTCGCCGAGGAGCCCCATAGAGAGATACCATATACGAAGGTTGGGACAACTATTGCCTTGTAGATGGCGGCCTTGCTGCTGTAAGACAACTTGCTTGAAGCTCTCAGCATCCAGTCGAGGGTTTTTAGCTTGCTTTTGCATTTTGAGGTTACTTGACTTATGTGCGCTTTAAAAGTCAGCCTTCTGTCAAGAGTGATACCAAGGTACTTTACTTTTGAGGCTTTGGGAATAGTGGGCCCCAATGCAACGCTTGGGCAATCTCCTCTTCTAGTGGCGAAGGTAGTATGTACAGACTTTTGTGCATTAATGGTGATACACCACCGTTTTGCCCAGCGTCCGAAAGAGTCCAGATATTTTTGTAGTGAGTCTGAAGCTTCTTGCGCAGATACGTGACGTGATAAGATGGCGGTGTCATCTGCATAGGTCGCTATGAGTACTGCATCTGTACTTCCTATATTTGGCTCGGGAGTTGGCATATCTCCTGTGAATAAAGTATAAAGTGTTGGGCCTAGAACACTACCCTGTGGTACTCCAGCCATAATTGGTCTAGTCAAGGATACTGTTTGCCCCCTTGACACTTGGAAGGTTCTTCCAATAAGGTATGAGGATAGCAACGCGAAAAATGGGGCTGGAAGGGTGGTCCTCACTTTCTGCAGCAGTCCCAGGTGCCAAACTCGATCAAACGCCTGTTTGATGTCTAAAAAGACGGCAGAGCAGTACATCTTTTCTTCAAAGGCTCCAAGGATATGGTGCACAACTCTGTGAACCTGTTCCGGTGTTCCATGCTGTCTCCTGAAGCCAAACTGATGGTTTGGAATGGCCTCCTGGCGTCCCAGATGTGTCAGTACTCGTTCCAGAAATATTCTTTCGAATATTTTGGAGAGTACTGGCAACAGGCTAATTGGTCTGTACGACTCAATTTCTCCCACGGGTTTGCCAGGCTTAGGAATCATCACAATCACGGCGCGCTTCCAGCAGGCTGGAAAGTGCCGGATGCGGAGCATGGCGTTGTACACCATAGTTATGTAGTCTATGGTGGAGTCAGGCAGTGCTCTAAGGACTCTGCCGTTTATTAGATCATATCCAGGGGATTTTTTTGCCTTCACTCTTCTGATGTGTTCAAGAACCTCTTCTTTTGTACATCCAGTTATCTGGTCTTCAGCTGGGAGGGGCGAGAGAACGATGTCTTCTGTTGCTTCGATTTCTGAGGCCTCTGCGGTAATCACCGGCGTGAATTGGTCTTGAAGGTGGTTTGCAAAAGCCTCAGCTTGAGCTTCGTCTCCAATGTGCCAGGAACCAGAAATGCTCCGAATGGGATGACGTCGTATTGGCTGCCGTTTGAGCTTTCTTGTAAATTTCCATAATTGAAACTCTGCGTCAGTGGGCGATTCAGCTCGTACCAGCGCATCGCTGATACACCTCTTTTGAAGCAGGGCGAGAGCAGCTTTAAGATGCCTCGTGGCTTCGTTGTACATGGATTTGGCATCAGGCGTGCGTAATCTTAACCAGCGTCTCCTGGCCCATCTTTTGTGTATTAGTAGGTGTTGGGCCTCCAAGGTGAGGGGGATGTTGTACGGAGACTGTTGTCTTGTTTGGCAAGATGGTGGGGCGGCTTGGTGCGCAGCTTTGACTATTTCTTCCTGCAGTTTGTTTGCTGCGTAGTCCACGTCTTCAGGAGTGTTAAGTTCCATTTCTATGTGCAAAGAGTAATGGAGCTCGCGCCTAAAGACTCCTAAATCTGATCCTGCTGGCAGTAGTTGTTTCCTAATGGGCAAGGGCTGTGGCTGCGCGTGGATTGTGACTATTAGTGGCAGGTGGTCAGAGGATAAGACCGAACATTTTACTTTTAAATTCTTATGTAGCCAATTTTGAATTACTATATATCTAAGTATATCTAGACAAAGAACTTTTATGCAGTCCATTTTATTGAATTGCGTAAAAGAGTGTCATAAAAGACGCTTTATTTGATATAATAAAAAATAATATAAAAATTATTAATAAAAATAAAAAATAGCTTAATATATTGAATATTATTATACAATTGTAATAAAAAATAACAATGTATAAATATACATATAAAATTGAGTATACCTATAAAATTGAGTAATTAAGTTCGTATTGTAATCGAATGGAAAAATTAGTAAATTGTGTACTAAATTATTTTTTTATTTATTTTAAACTATTTCTGCAAAGAGAATAAAAAATAATAAAATAATTAAAATAATTATAATAGCGTCTTCGAAGCGACTTTTCTAAATTTCTAATTGTCTAATATGTATTTAGTTTATCTTGCAGTTTTCACCTAAAATAAAAGAAAATTTATGATAAAATAAAAATTAAATTTCCTTTTTGCACCTGAAAAGAATTATGTATAGGGAAAAAGTAAGCCCATGTTGATAATTATACTAAATTGCAGTTAACAGTACAAGCTCTATCAGCTCTACAAGCTCCATCAAAAACATAAGCCAGATTCATTTTTTATATTAATTTGAAGGAATAAAAGCTTATTTATGTAAGAGCTGGCAACTGTAGTGAGACAGCAAGTGCCATGATTATACAGAAGTACAATATATATTACTAGCTTTCAAGTACATGCGTTTTATAGAGCTATGCAGAATCATGTAAATTATGACAGTTACGACAACTCACATCAGTTGCGAGTTGCCAGTTGCGAATAAGCAGACCTCGTGGAGAGACTCAGAAGCACTCAAACGGAGCTGCAGTTAGACTCTGCAGCAGTTGGCTGACTTCATCAGCCGTTACAGTTACTACACTTCTTAAGCACATCTCACACACATACAACACACGTATACATAGAGAGGATTTAAATATGCAACCATTTTTATATGCTACATAAAATGTTTCTTTTCATTCTTCTGCTTTTTGCTTTGGCCCGATGATGGCGTTGCTGACGCGCAGATTTAAGTGGCTTCATTAAATTACTCGAGCTACCCAAATACACGAGCGTTGTAAAGACTTTAAATGCGGGCATTAATATAGACACCGATGTGGACCTCGATGGCAAGGGCCAAAGTGGCGGCGACGGCGATGGCGTTGACCCAACAAAGCAGCCAAGTCAGCAGCGTCCCCAAATGAAACAGTTGTCAGCAGACACTTTATCAGCACCCACAGAGTTACCAAAGGAACAACAGCAGAAACATCAAAAACAGCAACAAAATGATAAAGCGCAAAAGGCGAAGCAGCGGGAACAGCATTCGGATACCAGCAGTTTGGCCCACTGTCATCAGCTGGCCGAGCAACTGGCTTACGATTACAATAAGAGCGCTCTCTTCTGGCCCTGCCCGCAAATGAAAGTATGTATACAAACTTCTCACTTATATATGTCTGTCTGCTTTTGTTTCTCTTGTCCAATTAATAATAGTTAGCTGTGTGGAATAGAGGCAATTCTGTAGAGGAGGAGAATATGATAAGAAATCCCAGAATCGTGGGAGTGAGACTTCTTATCACACTCAGCCCGCAAAGCTGTGCTATAAATATTTATAAAATTAATTAGCAAAGTGGCAGTCAGTACATAAGCAAAGTTAAGTAATTTTTAAAAAATATAACAGCATAGATATTCAAACTGAACTGACAGAGATTTAATGTCTGCTAATTTGCCACATTCCGCAGAAAACGGTTCCAAAAAAAACTATTGAATCCTGAGTAAAACGAGCTTTACAGCAGCACAGAAATCACATTTTATATAATTACAGTTATATTAAGTTTGATAACTGGTTCGCCTCACAATGCTTGCAGCTAGCATACAGCAATTTGCATTAGAGTCCTCCATTTCAATGGTATTTGTGGAGCTAAACCATTCCATGCGTTTGCTTGCTACGTTTTAATAGCAATTATTTTTGATGTAACAATTTCTGCTTCAAGCAGAGCGAATTAGCAGCGTGCGTTCACTGCAACCGTAGCTGTTGCCAGCATCAACCTGTACGCAAATGCTTACCCAACTAACCGTCAGGCATTTCGTTGCCGAAATTTTGCATTTTCTGACAAGGACCTCCAGAAGAGCAGCTCAGCAGAGTTAAAACTGGAAGGTGAAGCTCAGAATGGAAATGGCAAAGAGACTAAAGTTAAGGCTGCAACTAAGTGGCCAGAACGAGAGGGAGACTAACCCCAAATATGCTGCAACAAAATACTTGATAAAAGTCGGCAACTGTATGAAATTACTTTTTGTAGCAACTGTAAGAGAATTTGCTGTTGTCGTTGTTGTTTTTTCAACTACTATTTGCACTTCATTTAAAGTGCATGTCAAAGTTCGGAAATTGTGCAACAAATTTTTAAGCAATTCATAGTTACAATTCCTTCTGGGCAACTGACATAAAGTCAAATAGTCATAAGCCCGGAATACCCTAGCGTAGGTATGCAAAGAGAGTAGATAAGCTTAAACAATCTTTTTGTTGATATATATCTTTATAGATATATTTAGATATATTTAGTTTGAGATATAACTTATTTTTCAGTTAATCATCTTCATCAACTCCGAAGTCATGACAACCTTAAAGAGAATATCTCCTATTCTTGCACTTGGCCTTTAGCTGTCTTGCTCGTTTCATACTACTTTGGCGGTTTGATTGACAAGCGCAAACTTGTTGAAAATTCTGAAAAATTATTAATGAAAGCTTAAAGTTTGCTAAATGCGATGACAAATTAGGACAGAATTTCTGACAAGTCTGACTGGTTAGCAGCGCTTAATCTGAGCAATGGATTTCAAATGAGCTGTGTGCACGGGCAGGGAGATGCATCAGACAGTTGCAGCTTAGACAAAAGCCGAAAAGTTGCAAGATAAATAGCATCTGGGAAAGCGAAGCTGAACAAAGCAGACAGACAAAAGGCAAGGCAAGGCAAGGCAACGCAAGGCGAAAGCAAAAGCTGAATTGCATATCATTTCCATGCAAATCACCCAATGAGACAGTCAAGCTGATATAAATGGGTCTGCGTATGGAAATGGAAATGAGCTCAGTCATGGATATGGGGAGATGACGATGACGATGGCGATGGCGATGGCGATGCAGATGTTAATGAATCTGCAATGTGCTCCTATTGAATCGAGCAACAATATTTCACAATGTTAAAGCATCATAATTTCAGATTCTTATGAATGCCAATGGCCGTTGGTCGCCAGTGCATTTAAATCACTCAGTTCGAGAATGACAGGAAAGGACAGCTGAGCCCGCAGCAGCACTGTCTGTCACTGAAATGAGAATGCACATATTTCAGATGGCTTCACGTTGTGGCACGTGCTACTGACGTTGCCATTGCCGTTGCCTTTGCCGTTGCCATAGTTGCCATAGTTGCCTTTGTTGTTGTATACAGCCGATTGGTGACACGTTTCTTGATCGCTGCTGGCTTTGAGCTCTTTTTTTACTTTTGTTGAGTTAACATAAAAATGCTGCACAATCATAAACAAAAACCTTGCTTAGCCTGGCAGCTGTCTGCTTTTTATGTGCCGCTTTTCTCGCCAGCCGTTGAGTTCCGTCTAGTTTATGGAAATCATGTATACAGGAGCGCATGAAAAACTGCCAGCAGAATTATTAAAAATATGCAAAAGCATATTAAATGCAGCCTCAGACACTTGAAAGTGAGAAAATTACAAGCACTGTGTGAGTTCTTTGCAAGATGTCTTCTGTCTCCAAGTAATGAAATGCTAAAGCTCGATCTTATTAGCTTTAAAGGTATGTTAAAGTTGGTGACACAAGTGTTGAGGCCGGCCATAATGAATTATAATTGAATTTGTTGAGTAGTTAGTGAAGAATACGAAAGGGAATTATTGGCTGAGAGGTTTTATAACTAGAATATAGTGAAGCTGGTTATTTCTGAGATTGGTCAAGAGCTCGTGAAACCTTTAAGATTAAAATTCAGATAGATCTACTTAAGCTAAATGATATAGCGATCGTCTCTAGCCTCTGTGACTAAAGCCGTACTAAATATGCTATTAATAATAGAGTTACTTAATGTTTTCTGTAAGCATTCATAACATATATGCATTTTCTCTCTAATGCTTATATCTTTGATTAGGTTTGTTCTCTCTTTCTCTTCTGAAAGACCATCTCTGCAAATCAACGAAATGAACTTTATAAGCACATTCAGCAGAACTTAAGCTCTTCTAAGCCTAATGGCCCACATTTTAAGCCAGAGAATTTTTTGTGCGCTTGCCAGAATTCCTCTTTTCGCGAACTCTGCACAAAAACTAAGTCGGCGTTTCAATATTTCATTTTTTATATTCATTGCCACAAAATGTAATAATAGCAGGGATATCTTTGAATGGAATTAAATAAATTTATCTATATACGAAGTTTTCTTCTGACCGACAACAGTCTCTACTTCTTATCTATTTTTAATTTGAGCTCAGGCAGAAGACGATACAACCGCAAGACTCAAATTAGTTAAGACTTTAAATGCTTGAAAACTTTTCAATGCTCAACCAGTAGCAAATGCTTATTCTTTGGTTGTCTTCTTTGTCTGCTCTATCTGTCGGAGACTTCACTATAAATCAGTTTAAAATTAACGGCACATAAAAGTAAACTGCACTAAACTAAGCTCGTGTCTGTGTAACTATTTAAGTGCATGCAACGCCCACGCATGGACGGATATTAAACCGCAAGCACAACTGCGTCAACTGAGTTTTTTCAGTGCAGCGAGCTCAATGTCTAAGCTTCGACCGTGCGGACCGGCGGAATAGTATTACGGCTAAAAGAGTTTTTAATTGGCAATACAAAACGACAATCGTTAACACTAAATGTTGCAAGCCAAGTCTATGCGGAACGCCAGCGCTAAAAAGTATGCAAGAGCCGAGCTGAACTGAATTGATTAAATGAAAATGTTGCAGTCTAATGAATAGATTAAGCTTTTCGCAAAAGAAAATATTTCCGCACTTCCAATAAAAATATAAAAACTAATATACTCTTTGTCAATGCTACGAACGAGTATATAGAGAGTACAAAACATGTCGATAAAAGCAAAAGCATTGAACAACAAAGTAACAAAGCGTGCCATTTAACTGTGATTTTTATGCCCTGACCAATATTTATGCAGCGAGTGTCCAATGGCACACGCCTACAACTGGAAACCCAAACACCGCATCGCGCGAGCTTTGGCCGCGCCCTAAATCAGCGACACGTATAAAATTGCAGTTTGGCGCTCCGCTCGGTTGGGCGGGTTGGGAACTTGCAAAATGTTGAAGTCGCCTTGGGATTGGAAATGAATTCGGGACAAATGTGTTCGCATGCTTTGAATACTTGAAAATTGCGCATACGCCCCGTATTCCAGCTGTGCAGAGCTCAGATAGGTAACTAAAATGGCGAAAAACCAATTTGCAGGCGTCCTGCATCCAATTTGTATTCTTCATTGTGTCGCTGTGTTATCAGAATTTCATTCTATTTTATTTTATTTTTATTCAAACTTAACTTAACTTAATTAACGATGATGCTTAAAAAACATGTCGCTTAAAACATGAAATTTTTGGCTTCTGAAAATGTTAAGAATTTTAAGTTATGTCAGCTTACACCTGTGGTTACTTACGGTTACTTATTTCCGTTGCTTAGTGCAGCATAAAATATTATCGATACTGAACTTAATTTATAATTTACTCTGAAAACTTTTGGACTTTAACATAAAAATATCCTCAAATGAAGTTGTAAATCCGAAATTATATAGTATATCACATATTCTAATTACGTGTCTCTATTTTAGGCTTAATATTTGATAAATTGAAAATTTTCACAAACATTTTTAAACAATACATAATTCCCTTGTTCCGCTGAGCAAATAAAGCAATAATCCCATTTTCACAGCTCACACTCAATTTACACACAAACGCAGACCAAATGCAAATGGAATAGGAAACCCGCATCAAATACATTTTAGTATTAATTTGCTATTCATTGAATTTGAAGGCTCAGGCCAACTAGCACCGTCGAACTAATATTTTATTTCATGAAGTTTACTGCATTTACAACATGAATTCATGGCCATCAACTTTTGCGGCTTTCAATGCTTTTCTGTTGTAAGTGGGTAGGTTATGAATGTAAAGCAATCATTCAATCTAGAAATTGGTTAAAAATATGATTGGAAATAGTAAAAATAATATAAAAGAAAGTAAGCTAAGGCAGGTTTCGAAGCTGGAATCTGTTGCGCAGCAAGATATTTACTTTAAATAAGGACTTTACGAAACTAGACGATATTTAAAGAATAATTTCAGGAAAGAACTTCCCAGAAATAAAAAAAACAAAAAGTAATACTAATTAAACTTTAAGTTTATTCTGTTCAGGTCTCTCTGTAAAAAACATATAGGGTATCACACAATTGGTTGCGTATTTTAAGGCCTGCCGGTCAGCTTACAGTTGTCGATGTTGGTTTAAGCCGCTCGAATTACTTAATACGGCAAAATGCATTCGATCCCAATAAATGGGGAATATGTGGGCGTCATTTGAATGTGAGTAAATAATGTGTGAATTCAGTTTGCAAGCATTGCTCTGCATAGCGCCGCTTAATCCCACTGAGCACATGCAAACAACTTAATGAAGATTAATGTATTTCACAATGCAAGCCCCTGAGACAAGTCAAATCACAATAAGATTGTCGTTTCCGAATGCACATTTGAATACGTCGCAGAGCACCCAAGAACCTCCCAGCAACAGCTGCAATGCTGTGCGTCCTTCAGTAAGTCAGTCAGTCAGTCAGTCAGTCAGAGTGTAGGCCAGTCTGGCAGCGAGTAGATGCGCTGGCATAAAGTGCCCATGTATGTGGAAATCGCTCATCTGAGTCGGTCATAGCCGACATTTTGCTTTCACTCAATCAGTCTGACAAGTGACAATCGTATCGGAAGCTCTGAGCTCTCTTTCTGATAACAATGAAGCCAGCCATTCAGCGATTGTCAATGTTTAGTGAGTTATGCAACTACAATGCATATACTACTCGCTTTACAAACTAAACCAAGCCATTTTTATTTAATTATATATTATATAAATTTCTTTGTTAACAATTTTATTTTGCTCATTGAATTTATTAAGTTTATTTCAACTAAAGTGCAACAAATTGTGGCTATAATAAGTTAAGCCTCAAGCTTTATATACATTTTAAATGTGGTCTGAAAAATTAAATTCAATAATCAAGGATGCTTTTACTCTGTTCATCTCATGCATTATGCGCAAATATGTTTTTGCATGGCCAGACACTTTTTGTGAAACGATGCGGGCTTAAAAGTAAATAAACGAGAAATATTAAATAATAACATAAAACAGTAAATGAATCAATATTTGATGTGCTGACTGCAACGCTATGACGCTGCGTTGAAATTTACATAAGAATGTTTTGCTTTAAGAATGCCATAAGAAACAGCTGTATTTATTTGCCATTCGTAATATCCATATCATATATTAAATCATGGATAATAGCTGAGCTCTGTCTATCTTCAAGCGCATTGGGAGCAGCAGAGCGACGTCTCGCATGTCGCCTGTTGTTGTTTGTTTGTAGCCGTTTTTTTAGCTTAGTCTCGATTCAGTATCCTGATTGATTGATGTTTACGCGCCTGGACACGCCCCCTTCAGCGACTGGTTTTTAATTGCAGCAGCCTTTTGCGCTGGCATTTTGTAATTCGATTTCACGTTGCTCGCACGCATTCAAATATCGTTGCTGGTATTATTTTTGGGCAATGTCAGGTGGCAGCAACCGGGTTGCAATCTCGATTTATGGCAGCAGGCCTAGCCCCAAACAACAGCAGGCTAGCCGTGGCATTTTAATGAAAATTGCATCCCTGTCAAAAACCAGCTGCACACTGGCGTTGCATAGCGTAGTAGAGAGCATAGAGTGTTTCTATTAGATTAAAACTCTAGTACAAAGCTATTGAAAGTTGATTTAATCACAACTGTAGATATTACTTTACAATTTCCTACATATAATAGAGTTTTCGATAGATGAGTCCAGTATTAACGTCCTTTACATCAGACATAATATAAATACATTTTTCAAGTATATAAAATGAACGATTTTTTTATTATATATTTATTTGCAATTTATCACAAATATATACTGAATAATAGCGTCATG